TTGTGTAAGCCCACACCAGCAACAGATGGTGTCAACTAAGGAAGAAAATTCTGCTGAAATTCATGATTCCACAAACCTGCTCTCGCCAGTGTGGTGTGTTTTATTTTATCTTGTCTCTGATTGCCGTAACATTTACATAAAACTGAGGAGGAAACACAAGCATGTGCCTGATCATTATGGCTAGTCTGGCAAAACAAAGCTAAGTAAAATAAATCTCCCACTGCCACTTGCTCATTTTATGGGATCGCTGGATGCCTGGGAGATGCTCCTCTGTGAAGGTCTGTGTTCTGTTCTGTCCTTGAACCAAGTGATAGTCCTGAAAGCTGAACTTACTTTGGATGGAAGGCACTGGCTCCCCTGATTCACTTCCATGAGCTCTGAGTTAGCCTATCCTGCTTTTCTTCTATGACTTTAATAACAGAAGTGAATTTTTTTGCCTCTTTTTTTTTCTAAGGGGAGAGGCAAGTGGGAAGGACTAATAAATTAAATACATTACAGATCTCATATTAGTGTCATTTAAGCAGGTCCTCTCATACTTTAGCTTAGTTCTATACAGCTTTATGTATTTAAAAGACATTTTTTATTTCTGTGGGCTGCCAGATGTACTGCTGATACCTTCTGATCTGAGGTAGTTTGACACTGATTTTCCTAGCACACGCCAGGGTTCAAATCTGGTCTGTAACCCATCCAAATGATCTATTCATAACAAAAAGTGCCTTCTGGCACTTGCACCACAGCTGAATATTGTTAAACTGAATTCATCATTTCATTTGTTTCTGATTGCTCTATAATGTTTACATATCTTACGTATTAGTATGATCTTTTATAAAGCACATGCCGAGGTTAAACCCTCCCAGACAGAACTTTATTTCCCTTCTTCTCCCTTTCAGAAGGTGTTCAACTCTTTTTCCCTTCAGATGAGCAGGAATCTTGGAAATGCTTAATGCTCATTTCGTCTGAAATGATGGGGCTGAGCAAGTAGGAATGTGCTTGTTGGGGAGGCATGGAAAGGTGACATTTTCTTGCACAAAAGGGATTCTTTCCCATCGACAGACAGAGTAACTGTGAGGTGGAATAGCATGGCTGAGTGTAATCCTTGGGTAAGTTGGCATCATCACACGTAGGGGCAACAGTCTCGGTGTGAACATGTTCAACTGAAATATTTATAGATGCAGCTTATGACTCAAAGTGTGAATAAGTTCAGCTTCTCATCTCCAGTCTTCTAATTCCTGCTTCATTGTTGGGCAGAGATCATTCTCAGGTCTAGCAGAGGAAATCCTCTCTGTGTTCAGTTTCGCTCTATGTAAAAGATAATAAACATTAACGTGTCTTGCAATAGGAGTGTGTCACAGAAGGAATTTCAGTTAAATGGAAGGCAGAAAATCTGAGGCTCCTTTTGAATTTGTATGTTAACTTCCATAGAAGGATGACATCTCTTATTTGCTTTCAAAATAAAAATCAATTCCCCATAAATCTAAAACACATGTTGTTTTTCTACTAAAAAGATTAAGGATTTTCTTAAGCTCATTAAAGGGGAAAAAAAATGGCATTGATCCTCCTATATCATCATGAGAATGTCTGAAGGCAATTGAAAGCTATAAAAGAGACATGGTATTAGTGTCACAAAAATAGCCCTAAATCTGGCAAATTGTGCTTTTCTTCTGGGTTCTGTGGCAAACTTTGTACTTTTTCTCCGACCTTACACTTATGTCTAGTCATGTGTTTTGGTGGGATTGGGTGGGATGTATACTCAAACAGAATATGGACCTTTTATTATGAAAATACAAATGCCAGCTGCTGCATGGCTTGAAAGACCATCCAAGTATTTCAAGAAAGGGAAATGGAAACCATTTGCTATTTTTTATGCATAGAGCTATGGAAGGATGTTACTTCTCAAAGACTGTGTGTCTGTTTTGAGGAGAACGTTATTCCCAATTTTCGCTTTCCACATGCATCAAAACCCAGAGTCTGAAAAATGTGAATTAAACCCCTTAACTGAGAGGAGGAGATAGGAGATCTGATGGTGCCCTATCATCAAATAATGCATGATAGCCAAGGTTCTTTTATTACAGTTAAAAGTTCCCACAGCAACAAAACTGATAACCAAGTACCCCACTGCCTCTATCCATCAGCGTGGCAATTCCCAGTTCCCTTGTTTGCTCTGTTCATGTGTTGAAAGTTTGCTGGAATGTGAACAGACGGTACTTAGTAGTAAGCTGATAGGAAGGTCTCACGGTAATTTGAGAGGAGCCAGCATGGAAATATCCTGTCCTGGCAAATTCCTGTGGGTGCCCAAAGTACTGGGGCAGAAGTACTGGCTGCAGAGAGAATTTGGTCTTATAATGAATCTAAACCTTTTGGTGTTACCAGATGTAGAGGACAACTTGGTAAATTGAGGACCAATGATAGAAAAAAGGTGTGGTTTCTGTTTTTATTTTATAAAATATATTGTCCTTCTTGATGTTTAGACTTTCTCCTGACTTCACAAAGCATCTTTATGTTTTCAGTGCCCTTTGGCTATTTGTTTTTTCAGACTACACAGCAGTTGGATTTTAAGCTCAATCCATTTGGTGTAACTAGATTTTTCCTTCAGTGAGCTACAGAACACTGCAAAGTTTGCTGCATCAAAAAATTTCTGAGATAAGACTTCAAAATCCCAGGCCCCTTTTACCCTAAATGTTTCTTGTCACCTGTAGAGACCCATGCTGTGTCCACAGCTATAGGATGGGAAGGAGACAGGATGTTTGGGTTCTCCCCATACTTCCATCACCAGTTTGGAGCAGATGCTGACATGGTGTGTTCTCAGTAAGGTCAGTGATGTGGAATAGGTCTAAAAATCAGCTTAGTTTAGGATTTGCTTTTTCTTGCACTTCATTTTCATACTGAAATTGTAAAAGAAGCCTTGTCCCGTTGAGGTGATGAAAACTCAAAGCTGTATTAATTTGTAGTTTTAAGAGAAAACAAAACAAAACCAAATGTCTCCGCAGTGTTTTTGACGTAGCTTCGTCCACTTCGAGTCATAAATGCCTTTGTAAATTCAGTGCAGCTATTCTTGCTCTTTAATGGGTTTAGTCAGCCAAAATCTTGCACAGACACACAGACACGTGTGCACGTACATCTTTAGGGAAAGTAAGTCAGGGCTTTAGAGCTGATAAGGGAGAACTGAGCAAGATTCCTGTATTTGTTAGATGCTTTCCTGAGAGAAATCATGATTTCTTGACATGGTGCTGATTTATTTTGAGAAACAAATTTTGGGGTTTTTTGTTTTCCTACTTAACTTCATGACAAGAATCAGCTGTACTGTGAGTTTATGGCTGGAGCAGACTATTGTTTGTACAGAAACCTCCCTGCTGCTGTATTTACTAAACATGTGTGATGCACAAATGCCAGTAAACTGCATCTCGGAGCATATTCCCCCGTTGCTTGTAAAAACTGTCTTTAAAGTTTGGCCTGTTTAAATATACGGAGAATGTGCATCATGTTTAACAGGAACAGGCCTCAAAACTGTTTTGACATGAAGTCCAGGCCTTATTGAATCAATAGCAAACCTTAAGCATCCTTCAATGGGTCTAGAATTTTGCTAATGAAGAACAAGGTCTAAATACAAAAAACCCTATTGTTCCATTGACTGAGACCACTCTTTTTTTGCTGTTGCAGCATTGAAAGCATACAGACTTGTTTTGTTACGGAATTAATTCTCTTGTTTCCTTCTCTGGGAGCAAAGCACCTTCTAGAAAACAATAGTTGCAGATTTAGCCATCCCGTTAACGTGGAATGATGGGAAGTGCATCATGCATCATGTGGTGGTGTAGGACTGCACTGCTGTTCTCTTGAGTGTTTAAATGTGGTCCTGGAAGAGAAAACATGAAACCTGCTTCCAAAAGAAGAGGGTAGCCTGGCAGGGGATGGTGACCTGTCTCCTCCGGCCCCTGCTGCAAGAATTCATTGTTCAAAAAGTCAGGAATACACAACTGGTCTTTGGAGTAAGTACTAGGACCTCCTTAGGCCTTCTGCTGACCCAGAATGAAAGCCTAGAAAGTCTGTCAGGTCTAGTGAAAGTGGAACAGCTTTATAGGAGGAAGGAAAATGCCCTCCACCCTTATAAACTGGTAATTTGCATCTTCTGAAGCAGAGAAAGGAAATGAACCAGTGTTTCCCACATCCTGAGTGGTCTAACCACTAAAATACTGTGTGGGGCAGCTGTCACTGTACACGGAGGGGTGTATTGGTGTGAATAGGGGCCTGTTGTTTCTGTAGGATAGTGCTCAGATAGCTGCCTTGATCTGCCTTCACAGGTGTGAAGGAAGGAGTGGTTTGTGTAAAGCTGAGCCTAAGTAAGGGGCAGAGTCTGATGTTTACCCAGGCACATGTTTCTTGTTGGCCATACCAAGCACATCCCCCTTTGCCCAACCCAGGTCTGCAGCTTCCACACAAGACACCAACAATCCTGGCAGCTGTGTGGGAACACTGGAGCCTGGGGTTCCCTTGCCAGCTTTGGGAGTTGGTGGCAGATCTTGGGGGACATCACTGTCCTCTGTCAGCAGGATTCCCTCCCGATTCCTAACTCTGCAAACACCCATCACCAAGTACATTGGCTGTATTTGCTGAGGACAGTCAACAGTGTTGTATCCAACTGTTCATTCTAAATGAGGCATTTTTATAGAGAAATGAGGCAATTTCCCTCTTCCTGTAAAATACAGTTCCCATTCCTGAAACTTCTTCCTTTCTGCTCAGCCAGGCCCAGCTGTTCTGTCAGAGTGGGGGCACTTGTGTGTTAAGTAGCTGCAACTGTGTCATGTGAGCTAAAAATGATGCAACTGGAAGATCTCCTCATTATCCTCGGAGTAAATCTATACCTGTGGATCTCCACTCCTGTTGGTAACTCCTGTGGAAAAGCAGGAATTGTTTCAGTCTTGGACTCCAATAGCTGCCAAGCATTAGTTGTGAAGTCCCTACTTTGACAGGTTGTTTGATTCACCAGTTTTCTTTTGCTTTTACAGGTCAGTGAAAAACCCATTTTTGTTCCTGGTGTTTGGGGACCATACTTCTCTGCAATGGTACCTGGATTGTGGTTGAATGAGGGAGGTCAAAGTGCTACAGGAAAGCTGGTAAGTGTTTGGAGACACAGGCAGACTCCAAGATGGGAGGTCTGGCATAATTGCTTTCATTTGGAATAACTTCACTGTCAGTTCAGGCAGAGCTCTGCTGAAGCACCTCTGTAAGATCATGGGAGATACAGGCTGCTGAAAGCAGTGAACAATTAGTTGATTATTATGTCTCTTACAAACTGTTCATTTGCATATGGATAAGGGATTTTATACAGGGCATGTCTTCCTTTTATGGTGATGATTATTGTTATTATCTTACAGGGAAATAGGCTTCATTCTTTACTTTGGCAGGAGGCTGAGATAAAGAAAATTGCACATATTATGTTGCATAGATCAATTGTGCTCATCGATGGGCATAAGTGAAAGATGTACTTTATGGACAGATAGTAATATAGTAACATGTTATCCTGTCACCTCAGGTCTTTGCTCAAATACAAAGAGTCTAACAGTATTAGGTTAATTTAATTTACCAGGCTGGATTACCTAAAAAGTTAATTTTTTTACAGGAAGTCAGAACTAAAACATTGATGTCAAATTTAAAGAAAGGCTAGATGTACACAACGGTATTTAAGCTTGAGTCCAAAAGTGCCACCAAGATCTTCGTGATTGCTCAACCATGAAGCTTCCAGAGCTCCCTGTTTGTCTCCTTGGCCAGTCTGACTGCTCTTAGGACTGAGCTGCAAAGGCCTTGTGAGAAGCTGCAGGAGGCAGGCGAGGCCTGGGGGTGTCCCCTGTAAACCCACCATGTGCAGGTGGAGTTTGGTCCGTCACCAGTTGCAGGTGTAGTTGCTCTGACTCAGACCCAGCACCACCCACCTTTTTAAAAGCCTAGAGATGGGAGAACATGTCCAGAAAATAGATTGGGGAATCCCTGCACTTACACACTGCACATGGAACAGTCACTGAATGAGAAGCACAAATCATCCAGACACACCCCAAGCACTGAGCTGTCAATGGTGTTCCCTCCTGTGCTCTCTCCTTGGCCACCTTAACCTGACATTCCTCTCTGTGTCACGGCTTCAGTGGGAGAGTCACCCCTCTTTCTCCTGCAGCCTTGCTTCCCATCCCACCACCAGACCATCCTTAGCCTTCTGGCTAAAAAATGCTCTTGCAGCACATGGGATGTGTATTTTAATTCTTTTAATTGTGTGCTTTAAATTTTTCGGGTCAAGATTGGGCTAGGACCAAAAAGTGTCCTATTTTATAGGTAACTGCTACAACCAGAAATAAAACTAAATTATATATATATAAAATACATTTAATATCTAAAATAATATATGCTCAAAACACCCCCATTTTAAAAGGAAAGTGGCAAATCTTGCGTGTTTCTTTGCAAGAACACGTTTGAGAGGGAAGTCTCTATCTGTTTAATCCAAAGCAGGTAAATACTCTTATCTAAGCTCTAGAGAGGATACAGCAAGTCAGTGGTTCTTCTCAGCTGGCTCAGGATAGTTCCACACTTTAAATGTACTATGACAGTTAGGGCGTTTCAAAAAGATGATTTAAAAAATCCTTTCTGTTCTAGTACCAGAGAACAAGATGTTCCTGAATCATTAAAGAAATTGCTGGAAAAAGTCTATAATCTTTTAAGGACCCATAGCAAAAGCCATGGGAGGTAACAGTGCATGTGCTCTGTGTGGAGGGTACAGGGCGTTCATTATCTCTGTCATGTTCAAGCTGAAGGTTTTTAAGATCCTGCTTTCTCACACCTTCTGAAAACAAACAAACAAAAAGGGTATGTTTAGGGTTCTTTTCATTGCTTGATCAACGCCCCATGTTAATTACTTTCATAAAATGTGAACAGTCTGTTTAACTTCTTAAAAGTAGAGCTGATACACTTCCCTTTAAAAAGCTCTAATTAATTTATTTTTTTTTTATACAACTGCTAAAGAAATCTGTGGGGTTTTGAAAACTGTAGAGTCCAAATGAAGGATTAAGTCCTCTCGTTCTGAAAAAGCTTGATTTTTTTGTATGTTAGATGGGTTTTTGCACTGGATTTTCAAAATTTATGAGAAGAAAGATATAGCACAACAGAGAGAAAGGATGACATGACATAATTAGAAACTGTGAAATAAAAAATAGCAGAAAATGGTTTCTATGTGCATCCCTCATGTGGCCGTGTCTTGAATTAAGGGCATTTAAATATCTAACTTCATAACTCCTGCAACAGTTTTCTGTAAAAGTGTTTTCATGTGATGTTTATTTATAAATTTATTTCTGAATTTATGAGCTGCCCCTGTGTTCTGAGGGGATTATGCAAGATTGCAGAATTCAGGCCTGAGCTTTGTTTCTAATGCAGACGCACGTTTGAGTTCTGTCTGATGCCAATCTCAGGAAGAACAGGCATTATTTTCGTTGCTGTGTTCAGATGTGTTTGCTTCATTATATGTTTTCCTGCACTCGTTCAGGACTAGACTCATGGTGTTAAAAATTAAATACTGATGTGATTTTCTGCCCATAGGTATTGCCAAAAATACTCAGTGCTCTTGAGTAGCTCTAATTTTGCCTCCTTAGCTTTTACTGTCACCTCTGATGGGATATTACCAAGAGGCCACAAAACCTGCTGAATTATTGTCTTAAAAAAGCCCATATTATTCTACCTGATACTTTGTTTTGTGAGTAATGGTAACCACTCTGGACTGAAAGGACAAGTTGATTTATAAATTCAGTATAAGACAGAGCGTATATTGATCTTCCTTTATAGCAGTAATTGCTTCTCAGGGTATACATTTTGTTTCCTGCAATGAATGTATGAAGCATCTATCAGGATGACAACACACCTTGTGTTTTATTTCAACGGAGTGATACAGAAAGATGTAGGGATTTGGGCCAAGGAGATGTTCCTGGTAGAATTCCAATGAGGATAAGTATGCAAGAGAATGGGAGAGACCAGAGGACATGCTCTCAGGTGCTCTTGGAGACAGGAAAAATGTCATCCTGTCACCTTGCTCTCCTGACTGAGGAGCTGCATACTTAGCATTTTGCCAGTTTTTGGTGCAAGGTTGGATGTTTTTCCTTACTGTTCATAAACCAAATCCTGAATAATGTCAGTGGTAGTTCTGCCATTGGCTTCACTAGGACTTAACACTTCATGAGTAATTTGGAAGCTCTCTTGTCTTTTTAAAGTTATAACACTGCCTTACCCTTTTCCAGGACTGAAGTTGTAAGATGTAATCATCCTAAAAATGTTACTTTTCTCTTTTTCAGATCGATCATGTGGTCCGAGGCCATGTCGCCTTCCCGGAATTACAGTCAAAAGCTGCAGCCAGGTCACTGTCCTTATTCCTTTGTCACACGCCTGCCTTACAAACTGATGACACAGTGTATTCCCAGCAGTGTCCTTACTCTGAAACAGGGCAATTAACAGTCTGATAGAGGGCTGGAAGTACTTACAAAGGCTTGCCAGGTGATTGCTCAAAGATGAAAGCTTTAAACTCCCCTCAGATACCTTTGGTATATCTAAGTAGTGATATTAACTTACTGCTTTTCAGCTTTTCTGTCCAAGGGCATTTCTTGATTCTGTAGCATCATCCCTATTCAGCAGACCTGCCTCTATGCTTTGGGCTAGCAATGTGTCTTCATTTGTAGGTGACACAACTAAGTTCCAAGGATGAGATATAGCTTAATTAGGATATGTTATTCAGTATTTTTGAAACAATCATCTAAAGGAAGGTATAGCCACCGTATGGAAAACTCCTGCATGGCAGCACAGATAGAACAGCGAAACCCTGGATGAATTTTCAGACAAAACTCAAGATGGAGGAGTGACTTGGAGGTAACTCCAGGATTCCTTGAGCAGCAGACTGTGTGCAGTGTGGAATTTTAGTGTGGTCAGGTTTAGAAGTGGATGAAGATGGTCCAGACTGGTCTGGACTTTGTCAAGTGGTTTTGGCTTGGATTCCTTTTAAGATGGTTCCCATCACTTCCAGAGAGGTCTTAGCTGAACAGTTGGGCACATTGGATGACAATTTGATTCTCTTTTAATGTCTTTTTCATCCTTAGATTAAAGAAAAAACCAGCAAAATTGGCATTTTCTCTTCAGTTTATCCCTCTGGTCTAAAAGACAAGGGTCAGTCCTGATACATATATTAAACATGTGCAGTCACATAGTTATTTTCAGTCCTCCTGGGGGGATAAAGCTACCTGGTTTTTCTGGATGACCCTTCCATCCCTTGCAGGGCCCACTGTCTTACTTGTTTTTTAAGAACTTGTCCAAGATTCCCAGAAATGTATTGGACTTCATTCAATATGAAACAGATTCACGCTTCCTAGAATTCTCTTTGTTGTTCTGTGAAAAAGGAAATCAGGAAATAAATGCATCTGTGTATGTTTGGAGTAAAGATTGATCTGGGGCTTTTTCAGAATTTTGGCTTCCAGGCCATTTTTCCAGTGCCCCTGTATGAAGCTCAAGCATAGGACAAACAGTTTAGTCTGTAATGCCAGGATAAACCAATTTTTGTTGTTGGAAAAATGGCTATAGAGTAGCCTCCTTGTCTCTGCTAGGTCTGATACTGAACTGACTGAGCATAATAATGCTATAGTGCAAAAACTTGGAGTGTGGTGTGAGCAAGACACTAAATATGGAATATTGGGAATAGAATTCCATGTTATCCAAGGGTATGATGTCATAATTTTGGATTTGAGTCTCGTGCAATTAGTAAAACTCTGAAGAACAGTATTGATAATAAGAGCTGTAATATTTTATTAAAAGAGTAATAATATTTTATTAAGTTAATTTGCTCAATGGTATTCTTGTCATGCTTTCCAGATATTACTCTACTAATGAAATGTTTACATAGCTATAAATTTAGTAAACAATTCACTTACTAATTCTCTCATCCGCTTTCTCCCCTTCCTTCTGAAATATCTGTTAAACTTTAAGAAGGAACATCTTCCACCATCCCAGGTTGCTCCAAGTCCTGTCCAACCTGGCCTTGAACATTTCCAGGGATGGGGCAGCCGCAGCTTCTGTGGGCAACCTGTGCCAGGCCCTCACCACCTTCACAGGGAAGAATTTCCTTTCCTCCCAGTATCCCATCTAAACCTACTCTCTGTCAGTGTGAAGCCATTGCCCCTTGCCCTGTCACTCCAGGCCCTTGCGAATGAATAGTCTCTCTCCATCCTTCTGGCAGGCTCCTTCCGAACATTGTGTCTTGTTTTGGAGGATTATTGGTGCTGATGATAAATTATCTGCCTGGAAATTTCAGCAGAATAGTTCAGACAATCTGCTTTATTATGTTTAGGATGTTCTCTGTGTGGGTGTAGGAATTTGCATCTGTTCAGTCAATTGCAAACGGCCACAGAAGGAAAACAAAATGAGAATTCCATGTTTGGGTGTGCAATTTCGTATTACCTTTACTTGCCATGGTAGATGTAGTGCTGGGAAGAGTTAAGCACATGCATGTCTGGATCATTAAAACAAGAACATCTGAGGTCACAAATCCCTGCCTGTTGCTTTCTGCTGCCTCTCACCTACTCCTGCATCCCTAAACCTGTCCTCCCTTTCTTCTCATGCTGCCTATAAGCAGGTTTGGAATGGCAAGTGCCTGCTGAGCAGCTATCCCAGAGGCTTCTTTGTGCAAACTCCTCCTATTCCTTTGCCCACACCAGAGCAGTTTTCCAGCTGCATTTATCACCAGTTTAGTAATTTTGGTAACTTGTAAGGGCGTGAGAGCTCAGACAACCAGCTCCTGCTGACCACTGCTGCTGAGGACCAGGCTTGTGCAACCCTCCCAGTGCTATTCCTATGTCCTTTATTCCCTTCTTTTACTGGAAGTGGACAGGGTTGAATTACATGAGGATTTTCTGGACAGCTGTAAATTTAGCATTTGGTCAAATGGTTGGCACTCTGCAAACAACAAAACTTGTTTTTTTCCAGGCAATTCATTGAGTTGCAGAAATTGCTGTGATGCATCACTTTTGCTCTTCAACCTGCATATTGTGTAGGTCTGACATTTAACCATCACTGATGTGTTAAATCCTGTACAAGTAGGCTAGAGTGGGAAATCAAATAATATGATCATTTATGGTCTAAAGTTTAAATAATTCTGTTGCCTAGAATGACCATTTCTAATCTTTTGGAGGAGAAAAATATCTGACAGTAAAGTTGATGTGCCCTCTGGCACTTTGTGAAGTGCTGTGTTTTCAGACAGAATTCCCTTTCCTATTCATCTCGATGCCACCTCCCCATCAAAAGAGATATCTCCTCAAAATAAAACTATGAAGTTACACATACAGGACCCATCAGCAATTCTGGGATCTTTCAAGTAGAATGTAATAACCATATTTGGCAGTTTTCTGTACCTCTATATGGTTTAAGAGTCCTTTTTTTTTTGATATAGAAATCTGTAATTTAAAATTTTTTTCCCCTGAAAGATACCTGTTGGCATCTTCTAGGATTCTTGAACAGATTAAATACCAGCTTCTTGATTGATGCTTTCTGAAGTTATGTCCCAAGTATGAACATAAACCTGGGCAAACTTGCATCGATTTCTTATTCTCTACTTTCAACACAGTTCTTTTTTCATAGCAATAGCTCGTGCTCAGCTCTGCAGGTGAGATGCAGCTGCCACTGATACCTTGTCATAGAACTGAATAGAGAAAGGTCTGTGAGTTGATGGTATAATATTATGTATAACCCAAAGGTGGGAGAAACAGGAACTGGCAAGTGTTTGAAGGATTTTGCCAGTCCAAGTGTAGTCCCTTGAACCCTTATCTATATATAGAAAAAAAATAAATTTAAAAAGGTGTGGGGAAAAAATGTAATTCCAAGTTTATGTGGGTTTTAAGCATATTTGGCTCAATTTCAGCCTTTTTTTTGTTCAGTCCTTGTGTTCTGACAGAGCTGCACAAATGACTAATTCTTGTGAGAGCAGTCAAGCACGATGGAGAAGAGATAGAAGCTGGGATATCTGGTGGGTCTTCTTGAGTGAAGCTTTCCATTTTTTTCCCCCTTCCCAACAGTCAAGCCCTGATTTAGACTGGAAATAAAATTACTTTATCCTTAGCATGTACTGCTTATAGTGCAGTCTTTAGGGATGGAGAAAACAGGGCCACTTTCACAACAAGGGGAAAAAAAAATGATTGTGACCTCAAAATTATCATAATTTAGGCCCAGGAAGACACATAAAGTACATTTTAAAGGACGTGAATAATGATGTAAATTAGTTATTTTAATGTCTTCCAAGTGTAGTTCATTTTGAATGATATCCTCTGATAGCATACACATGGTAAGGTATAATTGAAAAAACATGCAGCTGAATGGTTGAATGCAAAGTATAAATATACAGCTGCTAGTGGGTCAGAAGTCAAACTAGTAAAGCATATGCCAAATTCCCTCAGGGATCTCATTAGTGCATGATTGAATATACATGTAGAGGCTAAATGAATATCACTGTTTGGGTCTGCAGTGGATGAGACAATGACTAATCAATTGTAATTAGGGTTAGATGCTGTTATTGACCCACATGTCTAGAATTAAATGCCCCACTTGGAGATTTCCAAGGAGTTGAAAAATATATATGGATTTGTTTGTGATAGGGTGAGTGTTTGAAAAAAATATTCCGAGCATAATTGCAACATTTTTTAAACACAATGTCACCAGAGTCACTGCAAGCCAGGGCACTGAAGAATTCACCATTAGTCCTAGGTCCAGGAAAAAGTCTGTTGGATATCGTGGAGTTGGGTGTAGCATCTGAACTTAGATACAATCATATTTAGGCCCATGGTGGGCTCCTCCCTAAAATAGCAGCCACTCACTTTCTCTCCTCCACCCTTGGTGCTGCATTTTAATCATAACACACACTGAAATAATTATGGTTTGAAAAAGGAAAGCTCTGCATGCTATTGATTAATCAGAGAAATTTTTAAACATTTGCAAAGGAATTTGATTTTCACTTCTGTCTGGAATCCTCCTCACTCCTCCCTCTCCGCTTGCTTTTCTCCAGCTTTCCTCACACAGTGTCAGCACCATTCTGTGGGAGACAAGCATCAGCAGCCCCAAATATCAAACAGCTCTGGCTCCTCCAGGGACCCGGAGGAGTCAATGTACAAACTCAAGGTCATATTATCTCCCCTCATCCCGTGAAATTAAGGAATTCAGGTGGCCTGTTGAGCACACGTGCTGATAGACATCCCCTCAGTGCCATGGGCTTGGCAAGCAGGGGGATTTTGCTGTTCTTTGATGGGTTTTGTGCATTTGATGGTAGTACAAATGTTATATGTTTGATGAATAACCTCCCCTCTCTGTTTCCAACTTGTTTTTCTCCTAGTGCTCACAGCATATATACATACTTGAACAGTCACCTGGATCTGATTAAGAAATCTTTGCCTGTGGGTTTCCTCACTGTTGATTTACATGTTTGGCCAGATTTCCATGGTAACAGATCTCCCTTAACAGATCTGACACTAAAGGGCATGGTAAGAAACAGCCTGTCTTTGCAAAAAGGTCAATACAGGGTAAAAAAAAAAAAAAAAAAAAGGAGCTTTTCTTCAATTTTGAGTGTACTCCTCCTTAGCTGTTTACACTATCGCATAGGATTTGGGTTTCTTGCTGCATTTCGAAGTGTGCTGATGTTTCAGTAGAAAACCAGAGATCATTGTCGTTAAGATATCACTACAGCCACATTTATTTTCTAAAAATATGAGGAGTGCTGTGTGTGTCCCAGGATCTTCCCTAGGAATCACATTTCACAGCGCTTGCTGTTGTTAACTGACTTGTCTACCAAATTTTGAATATTTCTTGCAATGAATTTCAACACGGATTTGGGTAAACCTATCTGGAAAAGGCATGAAGTATTCTGATGATAGATTGCTTGATTTAAACAGCTTTTCAGCCCATCTTTAAGTGTTTTGATGTGTCTTTTTACTGAGCTTATGGTGGTAGATCAGATGGGTCACAAGGCTGTGCAGAACTATAACAGAAGAATGTCATAAGGGTATAATTTGGTGATGTCAAAATACCTGATGATTAATGCAAAAATGTCTTTCAAAATGACATATTGTCCTTGAAATGAGCATCTCAAGCTACTCACCAGCACTATAATCTGCAGTATTTGAGGTTGAGGTAGGAAAGGGTATAAACACTGCAGCATTTAAATCACAAATGAGGGAAACATTAAAAGAATAAAAAAGGCCTATATATTTTTGGGTCTTAATAATACCTGCTTTATTTTATGAGAGAATTATATGCTGCAGCAGAATCAGGATTTCCTTGGTATGATGCCCCTATGCAAATGCTGTTGATAGCAGCCCATTTTTTCTGTCATAATTATGGCTGCATTCAGGTCTTGCCTATGCTGATATTAATCCAGAGTAACTACAGTGCAGTATTGATTTATTTCAGAGTAAAGGAGGCTAAGATATAGTATTTAATTATTAATTGTGTTTCAGTGTTAGGGTGCTTGGATGGGAGGGGAAGAAATGCTTTTAAAAAGTTATTTTTATGTAATAGCATTTTCATATTATTACATTAAATACATTCACGAGCAATATCTGAGTCATAACATAAAACTGTCAGAGTTAATCTATCTCTAATCCCATACAATATGCTGTTTGTTCTTTATTTCTTTGCAAGGGCAAGAATAATTTATGTGGTTCTTCTCCAGATCAGGAATAACATGTTTAACATAGCATTATGTGTACAGCTCACAGAAGTAAAGCTTAGAATTAGTGTTTAAAACTTGTTACAACAAGAAGCCATAGAAAATAATAGAGTTTTATGTTGGCTGGATTTGTACATTTTCTTTTTGATCTTTGCACAGGTTGTTGGACTGACATTGTCCCGGGGTCTGGATGAACTTGCCCTTATCTACCTGGCCACGATCCAAGCCATTGCTGTAAGGCATTTTAAGTGCATAAAAGAAGAAATGAGTTGTCTCATGTGCTGTGAAGAGTGATCATTACCTTCTGCTAACCAGATTTCTAATAATACATGAATTCACTTAATGGACTTCTTAAAGGAGCAAGATGTTGTTTATCCGTGTTGGTGACTATTCCCAACTGTGGGAGAATGGACAGACAGAAAATGTTCCCATATAACGTCTTTTCCTTGAGGCAATTCTGTAAATGGAGCTTTTTCCTCTGGTGCAGATGTGAGGAAGGAGCTGATAGTCCATGGAGCAGTGTTACACCATGGGCTGTCTAGAGGGAAGCTGAGAGGGGGGAAAAAAGCTTTGGCAGTTGTACAAAGGACTCTGAGCTCCCCTAAAAGCTTTAGCTTCAGATTGTTCCTAATCCATGGATTTCCCCTGTTTGTCTGGTGGATGAGGCAGAGCTCTGTGCCACAGTGAGCAGGAGGGTCTTAGATTAAGTTCACAGCTCCCAACAGAGCAGATCTTCCCCCTCTTGTCCCTGCTCCAAGGAGAGCAGCTGGTTCCTGTGGCACTCCCGGGCGGGTGGATGTATGGAGCAGGCAGGGAGGCTCTGAAATGTCCCTGGTGTTTGCCAACACTCAAATGGGGAATTTTATTGGAATACTTTTCTTTCTGCCCTGATTTTCTGTCGAACCCAGGATTTCCAGTTCACGAGAAGTTCTGTTCTGAAGCGAAAACCTGGGTCACAGAAGTTGTTTGGAAAACCTGGCAGAGGGTATTTTCCATGGGGCCTTTTGGTGACCAAAATCCACATTCCTTTGACATCCTTTCTGTGATTTTTTATTTTTTTAAAGTTTGCTGAACTTGAGGCATTTTTTGCAAAACATTAACAGTTTGATGAATTGGGGAGTTTTCCTGACAAAACTCTATTTGGTTGGAAAACTTCCAAACTCCTCTCCTGGTTAAACAACAACTTTGCTAGGCTGGGTCAGCCATCTGGGATGGAGAGGGTGGGTAGCTGCTGTGAATTTACTGGGAATTGTCCATTTTATGTGTTAACCCTCCCTAGTCAGCAAATAAGGGGAACTTAACCCCAGCCTGGAATTCATTGTTGTGAGTTATGAGACTTTTTAAGATGAAAGTGGCTTGGTTATACCTGATGCTTCAGCATAATCCCACCATTGAAATAAGAATGCCTAGGAGAGGTTGAACAATGCCAGGGACTGATACTGCCCCTGAAAGGGACTTCCCAGTCTGGAACAGGTGCTCCCTGATTATATGCTGCTAACGAAGTGGAAACCTTCTCTGCTGGAAATCCTGGGAAAGTCACCTATTATCTCATTGTATGATACAGCTCAGATTTTATTGTAAAACACAAATACTGTGTTGGACACTAAATTCAGCAGCTGCATATCTTTTTGGTACCTGATTGGGCTGATTTAATGTAAAAAGGCCATCCTGTAGTTTTCTTTTCACTGTAAGTTCAAGGAAATTCATTTTTCCTGAAGTGTTGTTGAAACAGTAACTAAAAAGTAGATAGAGAACATTGGTTTTGACTTGATATATTTACTAATTGCCAATGTGACACCTAGGAAATTTGATTTTCCTCCCATGCTCCTTCACTCCCAATTTTAGCTTCACTTTTATTGAAGGAAACAGTTGTAGTAATCTTGCACCATTAGCTGCCTTCAATGGGTGCAAGATAAACTTTCAACCCAAGTAAAAATCTTGTACAAAGTGTAGGCCTGCCCACAGAATGTTAATCTCTAGTTTTCTTTTCAGCAGGAGAGGCTTTTTTCTTTTTATATAAAATTTGCATTTGAAGCCCCTCAATTTGCATTTTCTCCAATCCAGGATTAAATTAGTTCCCCCCCACCCACGGTGAAATAAGTCTGGCTTTAATTTAAATTGCTGTGTGAATACAATTTTCCAGGCAGGTAAACACAAAATAATTTTCACAGCATGTTCTTTCTCAGGGTCTTTGACGTGTGTATGTTGTGAGAGAAGTTGTTAATAAATTTGAATTTCAGAAGTAGTGAAAGAGAATCTCCTTTTAACCATTCACTGCAAGATGCAATGCAACAGTTGGATGGCTGAGAACACGATCAGGGATTTAATTGTGGCCCGTTCTGAGCAGACGGACTCCTTTTAGAGCAGTTTATTTTTCCATAATTAAAATTGTGGATTTGGAAATCAGCCCTCTGTGTCAATAGGGAAGCGATGGATTTAGTCAGCTGGAGTTGTGGCTGCTCATGTTCCTCTTAACTGCTTCCCTAAAAATCAAAATATATTTGAAGGCCTGTCCAGAATAGTGCTGGTCATTCATCGTGGACGTCTCCATCTGATGGAACTCTGCTTGTTCCATTTTCAGTGGCTTTTATTTGAAGATGAGTTCATTGCAGCTGCAGACATCTTAATGAACTTGCAGCATGACATAAAGAAAACTTAAACATTAGTTTATGAAAACTCTGACCAGATTGTGTTTTGTGAGGAATCTACCTACAAAGAGTCAGCCTGGGCAGCATTTTGCCTTGAATTTGACAAGTCTGAGCTTCAAACTTAACTTTCAAGGTATTATAAAGAGCTGGGAGTTATTTTCGGTCACATAGTTTGTCAAAGAAATGTGAAATACTCCTGAAAGAGGGAAATAGGGAGAAGGTTGTCTTCAGTGAGGAGTTGGAGGCAAGCAAAGCAAACAAAAAGAGAAAAGCTATATTTTTAAAATGGCAAAGCATTCACTTTGGTTGTTCTAATTTGAGTTTCTCAGAATTGAGACTGTAAATGAAAAGTTTAAAATATGCCTGCATTTGAGATGTTTCAATTAATTCGGGCATGAAATGGAACATTTTATTTTGTGTAGGGCAAAGGCCAAGAGAAATAGTTAAGCCAATACAGAATTCTTCAGGTTTTCTTTTTTGCTGAAATGACAGAAAACATAGTTTTTTTTAATTTGCTGTTCTTTTTTTGTTCTGTTTTGCTATTTGGCTTCAGAATTGAAACCTCTTCACTGAGAGGGATTTTCAGATGCTGTTACACAAAGTAAATAGAAAGTTTCGGTGGGGATGTCTTTGCACATAAGTATAGTTCTGTTCCTGTGGCTGCTCTCCTGTGCTCATCTGGCTTGTTTTTCTCTCCCTTTTTGAAGTTAGGAACAAGACATATTTTGGAAACGATGCAGGCTGCAGGACATGATATCAACACGCTGTTTCTGTGTGGTGGGCTGAGCAAGAACCCTCTCTTTGTGCAGATGCATGCTGACATTACTGGTAAGTTAGGGGAAGTACAGGGAAAGGAGTGTAAACTGCTTTTATTTTAGGTGTCTAAGTACCTTGTCTTTGGAAAATAAAGACTTTCTTTATACAGAACTGTATTTCGCTGCTTGGCCAAAAAGCGTGTCATGAAATATTACTTTATGAACTTCATCCTGTTTGACTTGTGACACTTCCTGCTCTTGCTGGGCATTGTATCCATTACTGCTTCCATGTCTGTATCTCTCATATGGCTTAGGGGACAATGTCTGGACTCTTGCTCCTGCACAGTGTTGTCTTTGGTTTTGTAGAATTCCTGATGGGTAGAAGGAAGCTCCTGGATCTGTGTTTTACTGCAATCTCAGGCCTACATGGTATTTTTGGTCCCCCTTCAGCCTGTGTGTGTTGGACATCTTAGCACACCTGCGAGTCAGTTGAATATACTTCAAAAATGTGGAAAAAATAACAAAATTTAGTGTAAAGGACTTCAGAGAAACATTGAATGATGTGTGTTTTGGGTATATTTCAAATTAAGACCAGTTGAGCTGTCATGAATAAAGTTTAAGGCTCAATTTTGGGGCATTTTGTCTGGAGATCTGTCTTGCCCTGACATCAAATTACACTTCATAACCTTGGTGCAGGAAGGAAGATGAAAATGTGCTTTACCTGAGAGGAAAACAGAAATGGAGAAGCAAAAAGCATAATGCCTATTGACCTGAAAATTCACTAATTACATTGTAGTCAAAGTGAAAAAATGATATTGTCAAGTCTGTGCCTTATAGAACTCAGATGTTTTAGGTGAATTTCAGCTACGTGTGGAGTTGTGCTGCTGGTCTGTGATGTGTAAAAGAAAAGATCTGTGAAAAGGTATTCTGATTAAAATGTAATCACAAGTTCTTTGACTGTAACTAATGGCCAAGTACAATTCAGTACAAAAAGGCCTTTTTGCAGTCTGGAGTTCTCCCCCATTTGTAAAATCAGTGACTGACAAGGGATGTCAGAGTTCATCTCACTGAAATGCTCTTGGTTATGTTGAACTCATTAGAGCCTATCAGATAAAATAACTAACATTCCAGGATCAATCCCCCATTCTTTCCCGAAAAGAAAAAAATCTGAATATATTATTGTTAGCTGCAAATGCCCATGACTCAGCCATGCAGACATCCAATAGATAATTCCACAGGCCACTTAAAAAGTATCTTGATCTTTTTGTTTGCCTGGTAAGAATTCCTATTCATTCTGATGATGCGGGAAATGGGCAGTACATTTTTGAGCACGCTGAAAATTGCTCACTGACGCCTGACAAACAGCCCTGGAGCTTTGAGCTTGAGCTTTAGATTTGCTGTTCCAGGTTGACCCAAGTCCTGAGCTTGATCCAGCTGAACTGGAGGAATGCTCAGGTGACAGGGAAAAGTAACTGGAAATGTAACTGGATGCCTGTTGCAAGGAGAATTTACTTTGTGTCAGTAATTGCTGCTTATATTAATAATTTTATTCCTCAGTTTGCGGAACGTGTATTTGCCTTTTCCTCTCTAGCAGTCGTTCATGACTAACTTTAGGTCTTCCTCCAAATTCCAGCTCCTTCTAATCTTCCAGCTGGCTCTCAGGAGCAGCATTTTTTGGGGCGTAATATCATGGAGACTATTCTCAGAAGGAATCCCTCCTTCTACCCCTGTGTTTGCATTGTCATTCACTCAATGACATTATCTCAGTAATGGAAATTTAGCCACATGCCAAATACTGTAGGAATATTAAATTTTTCGACTTAGTAAGGATAAGCATCAGAAGTGCAACTAGAAAAGTATTTAAACTTATGCTCTTGGTTTAGATTTTTCAGGAGAATTAATAAAGCAGGCTGGTTTTTATTTATTAGTATTTTTCTTCCTGTTTTTACATTGGTGAAACATGTCTCAGACACTTTGTGTGAACCAAAGGGAAAGTATGTTCACGATAGTACCCCTGGGTGATGAAACAATATTTTTTAATTCTGCTTCATAATATATATTATTTGTTTTTCCAGTGTTTTAATTTTGTTTTTGAGTATCTTGCACAATTTGGAAGGCAAGATTTCCCTTATTATTTCATACATAGCTTGAGAAAGTTTGCTACTCATATTTTCATGTCTTCCAGCAAAACCAGACTGGCTTTGTTGGCTATATATTTAAAACCAAACACAAACAGTCTTTTGTTTGTTTGTTGCAAAAGAAACAAAAAAGACACCGCCCTGTTTTCCCCTCCAGGTTAACTTTTAATGGGCACGTGGGTTTGGAGGGTGTGGGTAACAGGTTTATACCAAGCCCTCTGAGATAAATAGCCAGTGTCAAAGATCTGGGGGGGGGGGGTTTGGTTTTTGTGCCCTTTATGTTCTGCATTAATATTTGCTGAAATTGTTGTATTTAAATCCTGCATTTTTCCTGGAGCCTGGAACCACAGAGCAGAGTGATTTACATTAACCTACAGCAGAAAGGTAGCTCTGAATGGAGTAATGAATAATGGTTTTCAAGCCCTTTTTGATTTCTTTTTTTGCTTTAATTATTTATGGTGCTGCTGGTGCAGTCCTGCTGTGTTCTCCCTAACAGACCTGACTCTTTCCTGTGCAGGGAAGCCTGTTGTCCTGTCCAAAGAGGTGGAGTCTGTTTTGGTGGGTGCTGCTATTCTTGGAGCTTGTGCTTCTGGGGATTTTGCATCTATACAGGTATGAAATACCTGATTATATTTTTTTTTTTTCCAGTTTTAATGTGTTTTACACCTTGACTTTTGGCACCACACACAGACTTCAACCCAAGTGGAAAAGTTTGTACCTTCTACGTGGCTGGACAAGAGCCAATATCGCCTTCTCTCCACCCCCTGTTTAACTCCACATTTAGGTGTATTGAGTATTCCTTTGTCTTTTCACTGTAGAGACGTGCATGGAAGCTGCTGTCTATGAAGTTGGGCCATGTAATTTTACAGACAAAACAGGGAATTTAGCAAGGCTCTGATCCTGCAGGAAGGTCATGCTTTCATCTCAGTTATATTTGTCTGACTTTCCTTCCTTCATATTGAGGAATGTTAAACATAAGAAGCAACATAGCACTATTAATGCAGTAAAAAATAACACACCTATAGCTCTTGTCTTGCCCACAGTGAATGCAGAGTTAATAATGAGGATGGAACTTCTTGTTTATTCATGTTATTTCAATGCATTAGCAGTTGCAAAAGTAGCAGTAAGGCTTTTATTTTCAGTGGATCAGGCAAAGCATGACTTAGCTGCATTTGTATAAACAACAGTGGTTTACAGAAACCTGAGGAAGGGTCTGAATTCCCCAGATCATGCCTGTTTTCCCACCTGGCAATCCCACTAGTAAGAGACATCTTCTCTCTTCATGCTACACGAGGACATTAAACAACACACTGCATTCAGTTGGACAAACTTATTTATTGGGATGGTCCCTTGTACATTTAATACATTTTTCTTTATAGCATCAGGCACAGATACTTGTAGATGAAATTTTGCACAAAAACTTATCTGGATATATTTTCTGAATAGGGAGTTCAGCTTCTTGACCTTGTTAAATTGATGCAGTTCCACTGGAATCAATAAACAGCTCAACATAAGCTGACGAGCTGGGCTGTGCTTGGCATTTCTCCAAATGGGAATATTCTACAGTGCTATGTAGGTTAGCAGGAAGAGCAGTTTCCTTTCATAAGAATTTTTCCATTAAAATGAATGCCATTGCAACAAATATAGAGTGCAATATATATGTATATAACATCTGTATATAATAGTTCTAATGCTTGTAAGAAGAACTTGTTTTGATAGATGTAATTTCAGTAGCAACTTTTGGTGACAGGACTTTATATTTATTTCTTACTCTTCTGTTAATCTTTTGCCTTCAAATACATATTTCATTCCAAGTCTGCCATGTTTTTCATTACAATGCAATAACTGAACATCTCAAAACTGATTTTATCAAGTCTGTTTTAATCAACATTAGAAAAACCTAATGCTGTGAAGTTTTCTGTGATGTGTTCGTATATATTTTTGGTGTATTTGCTTACTTTTAGTTTTTACCTTGCTCTTATATACAAAAATATTTCAGAAGCATATCCAATAATGTCAGAACAGATACATATATTTTATACATACATTAATATATGTCAGTGTTCATCACACACCCCTTCAGATGTCTTTTTCAGTGAAACTGAATTCTTTGAACCAGCCATGTCACAGACTTTTAAATTGCAATATGTTAGATTATGTAAAAACATTTTTAAAAGAATTTAGCTACATGGGATAAAGAAATAAGAAACGGAATGAATTTATTTTAGGGACAGGGAAGTGTAAATGCATATCTAGCATCACAGTTCAATAACATCTCTTACATTTTTCTTTGTAACACATGTTCCAAAACAACCCTTTCTTAGAGGTGCTGCTGCAAACATTCAGCATCGTTGTAGACTTTGCAAATAATAGAGTTTATTACCTCTCCTCTAATAGATGGTTTGTGCTTAATTACTGTCCTTTTCAAAGCTCTTTGTTTGCTCAGTCTAATAGTAAAGGAGAAAATTGTGGGTTTTTTCAGTAACCTCTCTCCTTATGTCTATGGTTTTTTGAAGGGGATTTTTTACTGTAGCTTTCCCAGTCACTGGTCACATTTCTCAGAATGATTTTTGGACATTTCCACTCAATGTCAAGATCAAAATGCTTAAAAGCTCTCTGGTTTTTATGGGTTGGCTGTTCTCCATTTTCTAAAACTCAAGCCTTTTTAGGACAGCTTGGAAGTAGCACCCAAAGCCAGGATCCCTCAAAATCACTTCTGATAATCTTAGTCCAGCTCTACCATGCTCTGCTGACTGAAGGACTGGCTGCTGAACAAACAGTGAGTCCCACTAGTGATGCTGAACCTGATGCTTTGGGGATGAAATGTGCACCATGAGCTGACCTGCTCATATTGACTGGAACACTAAAGAGCTCTTCCTTTGATATCCCTAAATAAGTTTATTCTCACAAAGACACAAGCACTGATGTACCTCCCATCTCTTTTTCCTTTCCATACCACAGCAGCAACTGTTCTCAGGATGCAGCATTTTATTCTAATTCTTAATTTTCATATATTTTTCTTCATATTTTGAGTGGTTTGGGTAAAGGTTTTCATGCTTTCTGCTGGCCACATCTGTATTACCATCAAAATTCGCAGTGTGCTGAGCCTTTACAAAGAAGCATTGGAAATGAAGGTCATTGTAAAATTTGTAACCATACAAGTTAATTTGCAAGCTCCTAGTGTGGATTTAAAAGTTCAAGCCCCTTGAAGCTGCAATTTCATCTTTAGGTAATTCTATCAAGGGAAGATTTATAACCTCCATCTCTCAGGCCTGGTCACCATATGTTGTTGCTTCAAAGAATGTTGACTTCCCTATTTTCCTCTTCATTTACTCTCCCTGCATTTTTCTCCTCTGTGGTAAAACAATTGGTCTATCCAAAAAGAAAAAAGAACATGCAGTGTGGTGAGTTCTTCCCCATTTCGTCTCTCCGTTATTTAGTTTCTAGAAACTCTGGAAAGAGGAGAAAATAAACTGAATTTCTTCTTGGTTCATCTTTTAATTTGTCCAAATGCTACACCCTTTTTCTGTGAGTGGTTTTGTGGTGCCCATGAGCTCTGACACAGCCTGGTTGTGTCCCAGCAGACAGTGCTGTGTAAAATCCTGTGACAGAAAGATTTTTGAAATACAGACTCTATTTTGGGGATTTGGATTTCTGAAATATGCTGCATTGAATGAACTAACCCTCACATTGCTGCTGAGATAGGTCAGTTTATTGGTTCTGGCCATTCCTTTCATGCTGAGCAGCAGGATCCTGGTTTTCTATGGGATTGTTTCTATAGTAAAAATATAGTTTCCAGTTTAGCAAGCCAGCAATTCCTTCTCAGAGAAAATGTTCAATAAATAAATGTCAAAGTTTCCAGTATATCCTCGTTACTCTGCCTCACTCGTTCATAATTGAAAATGGGAAGAAGGTGCTGTTTGACTTGGCAGTTATCCAGCTCTTTTTTTTTTGAATAGCCCACTCTTTGGGACAAAGCTGTACACAAGGGAACAGGATTATTGCCTTATAAAACCCTGCAGCCCACTGACTATTCCTTAATTGCATATTAAAGCAATTAATAAAATTACCTGTATGAAACCAGATTATCAGATTTATTTTGGGTATTCTGCATTCATGTGGGACATTGTTACTGGCCAGTATGGGAGAGAAGAAACTCTGATTTTCTATAATGCATATTGTCGGTATCTCCCTGTAATCAGCTTTCTGTAATCATTTTTCGTGTCAAACATTGAGCTAGAATTGAGAGTCCTCATGATTACAAGATTTTTCAGGTACAAATTGACTTTTAAGAGAGGTTTAGTCTTTTCTTTGTTAGTTTTAGTTGTTGTGAAAGTTGCTGGTATACTCTGCAAAAGGATAGGACAGAGCATTTTAATTATTTTTATCAAGCAGATTGGAGGTATCTAAAAATGAGCTGGATTCTATAGAAAGAAGTGTTAGGTAATTATCCAATGTGGATTAGCTGAATTATTTAGCAGCAGTAGCAGCTGAGCAGGTGAAGTACCCCCTGGGCACAATCTGCATCCCTGGAAGCAGCCCTAGGAGCTGTGTGGATCAGGATCACCTGGCTCCTGTGTCCATAACTCTGGACTATATTGCAGGTGGGGGTTGAAGTTACAGTGGTGCAGGGGACATGATTCACTTACAACTCCACTAAAGGAGCTCAGAAGAGTTTTGTTTGTGCACTGCGGGGTTTTGCTTAATTTAATGGACATCTCCTCTCAGTTGTCTTGGGATGTTGTTGGGTGGTAAAGCATAAAATCAAATAACCAACCCCACGGATAACACAGGTTTTATAAAGATCAGCCAGGAAGAACATCTGATACACAACTTATTCGCCTTTTAACAATTAAAATGTTACAGACTGTTATGAATGTAAAGAAGTTCCTCAGTACTACAGTTACTCCACAACCTTGGTAATGGACCAACTGGCAATGGGGAATAAACAGCATTTCATAAGAACACCCATAAATAGTACTGGGACATACTCAACACTTCTGCTGACAGAACTGGAGGGGATTAGGCCATTTCCATTTCTGAATCAGGCAGTTTCTGGCGTAATTTTGTTCCATTTATTTCAGTGGACGTACTTCAGTTGATGATCTGATCCTCTATTCCTCTTCCAAAGCATTACCTGTCAGGTCATGGCTTGAAATTAATACAAACCTCTTGTTGATTTCCATATTTTCAAAAGGAAGAACCGAGTAAGAGATCAGGGAGGGGATAGTTTTTTCCTTAGAAATGGTAATAACATGGGAAATCAAAAGAGGAAGTAAAATGACTTCTCCCTGTTGAGTTAGGGAATGTTGCCTTCCCTCATCTCATTAAAAATTTAAAGCACTCTTGTTTTTGAACGGGGTGAATTAGTAATTAAGTGCTGTAATCAACTTGTGTAAACATAATATTGAAGGAGAACAGCAAATTAATCATTTCGTTGGCTTGCCTTCCCCAATTAATGCACCTTTTAGTAAAGGCCTTCCTGCCGTGTTGGGATGGTTTTTTTCTCCTGTTCCCTTAATCAGAAGAGTTATGAAAGGCAGAGGAAGGAGATGGTTGTTCTTAGGCACCATGGTGTACACGAGGAGTGTCCTAAGGTGCTGTGATCTTCCCTTGCTTTTCTTCAAAAACTCCAAATCTGGGCATGTGGAGTTTGAGCCCAAGGTTTAGTGGAGATAAAAGTGGAGTGATTTGGGGGAAAAAACCAAAAGCAAACAAAAAAACCCCCTTAAAAAAAAAAAAAACAAAAAAGCTCTTGCTTTCCTAAGTAGTGTATTGTCTGGTATGGCCTCTTCATCTAAGGGATTTCGAGAACCAAACTGTTTTCCCTGTAAGATGTTGGATGGCTGTGGAGAACATTTACAGCTCACCGGGCCTGACTCAAGGCTGTGACTCGGCAGTAGCAGAACTCCATCCCTTTACCTCTTTCCTTGGTGTTTTGACACTGAAATACGTCTTTCCTTAATTGAAAGTGGGTTTTTTTCCCTGTGTAATAAAGTTTGATTCAGTATGGCATGCATGAAACCACTAAGATACTGGCAATGCCTCTGGCTTTTGTATAGAGTCAGCTGCCTTCTTACCAGAAATCTTTAGAGAAATATAGATGAGGGAGAAAAATGAAAAGGCAGTGATTTGATGGCCACTGGCCAGTTCCTTGTGGCCTAGAGTTTATGGTACAAAGAGTGCCTTTTTAGTTAGCATATTTTGGCCTTACTGTCAGAAGTCTTTGCAGTGAGGGTAAAAAGCAGATGAATCACAACTACTCTTTTGCCCTATGGTTGATCCTTCTGCATTAAAGCTGAGAAATATAAATGCTGGTTTGTCTCTGGCAAGCACAGGGTGAGCTTTCAATCAGTTTGAGAATGTGATTTTTTTTTTCACTTTTCAAACCACAATAAATATATAGAAACCTTTTTACTTTCTTTCAGCTGACTCCAGTGGACAGTATTTCCATGTGGTTGGAGATCCTCTCTTGGTGGGAGTTAAATCACACATACAAGCACCACCACTTAGAGTCACACAGCTGAGATGTGGCTGCAGCTGATCACACGATGCTTTCACAAAAGTGCTTAGAAAAGTACCCTCTGTCTTGTTGCTGTTTACTGACATGTGATACTGGTTGACATCTGTTGCCCTTCTCATTTGAGGTCTGTTTGCTTTACTAACTTTAACATTTCCACATTGCTGTGCTGCTGAAGTGCAGATACACAAATCTCCTTGCAGTCCCCAAGGTCCTTTCATGAGAAGCAGAGCTGCCACCATTTGATATCATCCTGCTGGCTGCCTTTTATATTGGAGTGGAGAGAAATAATTCTGTGGCTGTGAAATGTTCTTGGTGGAGTGCAATGTCTAGTGCTATA